AGAAATTAAATCACAGCTTAAAGAAATGGAATCAGGGCTGGCAAATCCATAAAACCACGGCTCCAAAAATTCTGTTGCAGCTTGCCAAGTACCGGTAGATATATTCCATGCTTGGGCTCAATTGTGCACTGTTATTTAATAATTAGATAACATATGATGATCAATCTAGCAGGAATTAAGAAGCTTTGAAAAATGAGGAGGAAAGCTCTATTTGCAGCTAAGAAAGTAGATATATTTTTCTACCTGTTTACTGCGATGAAGAATTTGGCAATCATATCACCAAGATCGGCCTTTTCAGCCCAAATGTCATCAGTACCTATTATTAAGGATTTGTAACCTGAATTCCCTAAACCTTGAAGATATCTTGCCCAAATACATGTAGGGAGGCATTTAAAGCTGAGTGTGTTTGCGCGATCTTTTCAAAGCCTGAGATTTTAAAGCCAATGTTTTGCCTATTATCTTCAAATTTATGCTTACAATGCACCCTGAGCACCAGGGTGCAGAGGGTGGATGCAGCGTCGCCAATATATGGGTTTTTAAGCCCTAAGCGTCGCCAGGTAATTTTAAGATGCGTTGCCGGGTAATTTTTAATGAAAAACCATTTACACTGAGTAATGAAAAACTATTTACAAGCCACGAACTTATTAACAAGGTTGCATGCACATGTTACCCCAAATAACTAATTTTACCCTAAAAACAGTCCGATTGTACAGCAAGTGTCAACTGAACATGTGATAATGCAGTCTGACCGCTCTAATGTGACCGCAACTATGTAATCGTAAACTTGATGTTTACATTTTTTTGGCAGGAACTCATTGCAACTGATTTCCGGACAAGCTTCACTGCATCCTGATCCATCCAACATACCGGAAACCTTACTTTTTTTAAATAGTTGGCTGAAGACTGACAAATATATTAAATGCAAGAAATTCAATCTAAATGTGTCGGCAAGATCTTCTGAAGGCGTAAATTTTGCTACTTAAGCATCGCCAAAGATCTTGCAATATTCATCCACTCTCTGCACAGTGGCCTGAGCACTCAAGTCACCACAACACTTGAGTTGCCAACTTTCAGTAGAAATGATCTATTTTTTAAACAAAAGTGAACTACAATTTTCTAGAAATATAATAACAGCTTTTTAGTATTGATCTGTAAGACTGTATCAGATGAAAGCGATGCCAAAATTTGAATGTACAGCAATCCCTTGATTAACGCGGTTAATAAATCCCCGAGTTTTACCGTGTTAAGCAAAACCGCGCTAATCAAACTTAAGAATATATGGGAATAATTATAATGAATCCTCAAAAATAGCAAAGGAAAGGAAAATTATGTAGTTTGATAAAAGTGAGCAGTAGATATGGCAGCGATCTTGACCAGTTGAAGGC